TTTCTGAATCCTCTGAACTATTCTCAGATTGACACCCAAAGACTGAAATGTTTGTACTGGTGCTTTTAGTGTGAATGCCAAGCAGTACAGCATGCTGTTTCCAAATTTCTGGCAGAGTGAATTGTGTCATGGTGCTCTTTTAATCACAGGTGATACCACCCAACTGACCATACTATGCTGTACAGTCAACAAAACCAAAATCTAATAACGCACATGCGTGAAATTAGAAATATAAAATGGCGACAATTTACCCATCGCATCCTACATATATCTGTGCTGGAGCTGCCCAGTCCTCACTTTCCACCCTTGAGAGGGTTCAATGGAGTTTACTTGGATTTGTGGGTGATAAATTATTTCCAAACCTCCAACCCCTTTTCCACAGACGAGAAATTAAAAACCTTTTGTTATTTTCATAGCAAATGTTCAGTTGCATTTCACCCGTCCAGATCCTCACAACCACGACTCGCCATGACACATACACAGATTTTACTCATCTTCATTCCCTTCATATTCCATTGGTAAGGAGGAAGTTCCACTTAGATTCTTCCCCAGAACTGTTACATTTTGGAACAAACTCCAGAAATAATGTTTCTCCGATCACTAAAATCATAACCAATTCAAGTCTTGGGTCAGCTGTTATCTATCCTACATATCCTCATCATATGCCCCTCTTACTTCCTCCTTGTACTTCCTTAAAACAATTCATTCACCCTCTACCTTGAGTATCTCTTTGGCCTTATACTGGATCAAAAATAATATAAAAATATGCATCACCAAATAAAGTAAGCATCAAGCAATCAAGTGTTACCTTAATTATTCTAATGAGATGACAAATTTATGTGGAAAAAAAAATCTCCCTTAACACTATAAGCAAAGACATTATCAGCCAATAAAGTTTCCAGATGGGACTTTTTTGATAAACATGGATTCTGAGCCTGATTATGGTAACACCTTGTCTGAGTTGGCAAAATAAAGAAGAATGGTCTAGAAAATTATTTTTAACCAATCACAAAAACAGAATTTTCAAACCTGCAACAATTTTGAGAGGTGACTTTGAACATATCGGTGTGAATATCAACAAATCTGGTCATATGGTTTTTATTGCTGTTCATTCATGCCATGAGTTAGAGTGGATAGTGAAGAGACATGTTCATCAGATTTTTCCTTATTAAATCATGAAACTAATAACTATTAGCCTAAATTAAAGTCTTATTAAAGAAAAAAAGTGTGTCTCTGAAAGGAAGTAAACTTGCATCCCTTTTTTCCATCAGGGAAATCACTTTTTCAGCCAAAGTGTGCCTCTCCCAGTTCAGACATAGATACCAGCCTGACAGAGCAAAGTTTCAATTACCTGTTAAAGGAAACATGCTTTTTTTCATTGGGATTTCTACAAATCTACAGAGACTAGTTTCAATTTTGTACCCAGAAACATAAACAACGGCAGGTTTCAAATAGATTTTTTATCTGAGATCATTTCATATTACTATAAACATCAGTTGTTATTAATTTCACTGTTTAAGAAAAAAAAACAAAAAAAAAAGGGATAGCAACTCAAACACATGTAACCACTAAAAGTAATGTTTGTAGTAATAAAATTATATATATATATTTTTGTGTGTGTGTACACACTACAATTCAGAAGTTTAAGGCCATTTTTTAAATTTGTTCAAGAAGTAGATGTTTCATACTTCAAATAAAAGAAAATTTTTATACATAAATACTGAGAAATGATATTTTATTATGACAAAAAGCATTTTATGATTAAATTTTGCTCTTGTCAAAATATCCTCCCTTTGCTTTGATTACTGCAGCATAAATTTTAGGCATTTGTTGCAAAAGTTTCTCAAAGTTTGATAATTGATTCCATTCTTTTTTTCAATGACTCTAAAAGTTCTAATTTTTTATTTTTATTCTTCTGTCAAGTTCATCCCATGACAGTAGGTAGGGTTCTAACTTTTGAACTGTGTGTGTGTGTGTATATATATATATATATATATATATATATATTAGGGTGTGAAACTTATATTTTATATCAAAGAAACAATTTATACAAAGAATTAAATAGCAATGTTAATGTGATTAATGGAAAAATCACTTCACTAACAGGACTTAATGAGACGTTGACTTACTATCAATTCCTTGAATAATAAGATCCTTATATTTGAGTAGATGTCAGATGGAAGACTTATGCCAAGTACTTTCAACAATTTCAAATTGTCATCGTCAGGGTACAATTTTTTCCCTACATAGGCAAGCACTAAGATGAAATATGTGTAGATCAAAAGATATTTCTTTAATTATACTATTTATTGACAGTTAAATATGCTTTGGAGCGTGCAATGTCATGACACTAGAGTTCTTGTTCAAATTGATCAAGTGAGAATTTTGTTTGAATTTTGAAAAGTTATAAATCCATGAGTTATAGGTGTTTCACAGTTAAAGTGAAATGGACTTAAGTATAATCCAATTGGTAGAGTAAAAAAGTCTTAGTAGATTTCCGCAGAATTTAAAATTTTGATTATTACAACACTGTGGATCTAATGTCACAAACAAGCAAAATCATTTAACCCAAATAAATAAACAGACAAATAAACAACTTCCGGTAAAATAACCACTAAAATAGACTACCCACAATGCACCACTGTCCCATATATATATATATATATATATATATATATATAAATAACAGCAAAATAACAGCACTTGTGACCTGACGATTGCATCTAGCATGAAACAGACTGTCGCTTCTAAGTGTTGACTTCTATGTTCACTTTTATATTTACACATGCTCTATCTCTGATATTGAGCCCTTTATCCCATAAATATAGCACATCTTAAGACTATATATATATATATATATATATATATGCCTGAATGAAGTTCAGAGGATGAAACACACCAGCTAAGAAAAAGTTTTCCTTTTGTTTTTATTTCTATATATCTCAGTTACATCTTACATATTATAAAATGCAGATTGTGTGCATGTGTGGGTGTCTGTACGTTTATATATTGGATCGGATTTCCTACATTTTTCAACCGATTTCAACAAAACTTCACAGGACTGCATAAAATTACCTTGCGGTGGTTCTGACAGTGCTCCAAATTGGAAAAGCACAATTGTTTTTGCACAAAATCAATTTGAAAACATGATAACATGATTAAGTCGCCAGAATGAAAGGGGGGACAACTCATATCGAGTTTTACTTATAAAACCCAGGTTGTGTGTGTGTGTGTGTTCATTTATACATGGGTTCGGATTTCCTATATTTTTCAACCAATTTCTACAAAACTTCACTTTTTTTTTTTGGCAGGTAGTGTTTCTTATTGTCTTGCAGACTTTTTTTTTATTTTTACATTCACAATGCTTTAAAAATTCCATTTACAAGGCAATTGTTTATAATAAAATTCTATTCAATCGATAGACTCATAACAATTGAAAACAATGTTTTTGTTTGAGTTTGGGTTTGACCAATTCATAAAAAAAAATTAAAAAAAAACAAACCAAAAACTAATTAAGACATGCATGTCTGTCAACCTTAAACAATAATCTTTGTCCATTTTATTTTTCAGTCTTTATGAGGGTCGATACTTGATCTATCTCTTACTGTTACATCCCTGGGCAAAGCCGGGCGCTACTGCTAGTTATTTAATAATAGAGACACAGTTGTGAGTTTGGGATGCAGGTTGGGATAAAAGAACATGGCTTGGAATGAGAAATTAAAGATTTGAGTTGAATTCATTACATTCACTTAAACATAAATACTGTTTAGGAAAGGTAGAATCCATTTATTCTTATGGTGAAGCACACCTATTCTATAGTTAATAGATTCTCCCACATAATATAAGTAGGAGTAGTAAGAGAAATGAAGATCGGTTGATGTCAGTCAATGTCAGACGACAGTCGAATACGAAAGTAGTCAGCGACCACAACAAGATTACTCTGCATAATACCTGTTATATCAAGTTCCTAACGTTTTGTACGTCGAACCTATTTTAGGAATGATTTAGTACAAATACAAGCCTCCACTGCAAAATAACTCCACAACAATTCTCCTTCCCACAACTATAGGTAAATAGCAGGACAGACTGAGTCCTAGAGCCTTGGTTGGCAACCAGTCTAAGAGAACAATTCTGAACTTGAGGAGGGTTAAATGGAGATTTTATTGCCTATGTATGTGTACCAGTTCTGTCTTCAGGGTTTTTTGGTTTTTTGTTAATAAATTCATGCCAAGCAAGATGACAATGCCATTGAGACATAAGGGGCTACAAGGAGCAAAAGAGAATGAAAAAACTTTAAAAGGAACCAGAAATCCAGTCCTAAACAGGGATAGCCCTCTACTCCTGTTTAAAAGTCAACAGAGCAGTGTGAACTGCTGGTTTTGTACAACCCTTCCCCACTATAATCAAATAATATACACAGGTAGTTTGGTTCTAAGAACTGGGTGTCTGGGGCCTCACATATTGAAAATGAGAGATATTTAAAAATAATATAAATAAGTACGCATTCTCATTCATTTTCCTATATGTTTTTCTTAATGTTACATAAGTGATATGAAAAAAATCTGCAACTATTAGTAAAATAACTGCAGGCTTTTGATTGGTAATCAAATATAGATTGCTCTTAAACATATTCTTTGGAATTACTTTCTTGGTTCAACAAAGTTTGTTACTCAAGAGGAGATAACAATGATGCCAAGCTGCAAGTGTTAATCAGATAGTGTAACCTCAACTAATATGGCACTTAAGTGTTGAAGAGCTGACCACTTCATGGATCAAGGACCAAAGAAATCTGGTGAAGAGTCCAGAGATACAATAAGACCAGGGAAGTTGACCATGAGATTGAAAGCAAAAAGGAATGAAGACTTCTTCAGCTATTGGCCAATATCCAGAGGAAAGTTCAGATTGGTTCTCTGAACCAATCAATGAAATCTGACTTGGACAGATTAAACATAGATTACCAAAGAAATAGAGAAGAGAAATAAAGAGGAAGAAAGAAAATGTCAGGGAAGGGTTGTGAAATAAAAAAGAGAAACAAGGGAATTATGAAGAGAAGGAAAGATAGAGAGAGCAGAAAAGAGAGAGCAGAAAAGAGAGAGCAGAAAAGAGAGAGCAGAAAAGAGAGAGCAGAAAAGAGAGAGCAGAAAAGAGAGAGCAGAAAAGAGAGAGCAGAAAAGAGAGAGCAGAAAAGAGAGAGCAGAAAAGAGAGAGCAGAAAAGAGAGAGCAGAAAAGAGAGAGCAGAAAAGAGAGAGCAGAAAAGAGAGAGCAGAAAAGAGAAGGAAAGAGAGAGCAGAAGGCAGAAGCTGGAAAGAGAGAGAAGGCAGAAGCTGGAAAGAGAGAGAAGGCAGAAGCTGGAAAGAGAGAGAAGGCAGAAGCTGGAAAGAGAGAGAAGGCAGAAGCTGGAAAGAGAGGCAGAAGCTGGAAAGAGAGGCAGAAGCTGGAAAGAGAGGCAGAAGCTGGAAAGAGAGGCAGAAGCTGGAAAGAGAGGCAGAAGCTGGAAAGAGAGGCAGAAGCTAGAAAGAGAGGCAGAAAGAGAGGAAAGAGAGGCAGAAGCTAGAAAGATGGAAAGAGAGAAGCAGAAAGATGAAAAGAGAGCAGAAGCTGGAAAGAGAGAGAAAGCAGAAGCTGGAAAGAGAGGCAGAAGCTAGAAAGATGGAAAGAGAGGCAGAAGCTAGAAAGATGGAAAGAGAGGCAGAAGCTAGAAAGATGGAAAGAGGCAGAAGCTAGAAAGATGGAAAGAGAGGCAGAAGCTAGAAAGATGGAAAGAGAGGCAGAAGCTAGAAAGATGGAAAGAGAGGCAGAAGCTAGAAAGATGGAAAGAGAGGCAGAAGCTAGAAAGATGGAAAGAGAGGCAGAAGCTAGAAAGATGGAAAGAGAGGCAGAAGCTAGAAAGATGGAAAGAGAGGCAGAAGCTAGAAAGATGGAAAGAGAGGCAGAAGCTAGAAAGATGGAAAGAGAGGCAGAAACGAAGGAGTAAAAAAAAGAAGGAAGTAAAATGGAACAATATGAAAAATATAAATAATATTAATAACAATAAACATAAATTGCCTTGTCTTGTGGAAATAATTTTTCAAATCTAAAGATCCCCTTATTCAAGGCTCGTGAGCCACTCATGCTAGACTATTACTGTGAAAATTGTAGGGGCAATACGAATGAAAGTCGAAGTGGCAATTTTGAAGATATGCAGGATAGATAACTGACTGACACTCAACATGAAGTGTTTAAGATTGTAGTGTCCAGGGAAGCATCCACCTGGGATTCTGTTCCACAAAGCTGTCTGAATGGAAACTTCTCTTTACATTTGTATCCTAGTTGTAAAGGTCTGAACTGGTGGAACTTCAGAACAAAACCCATTGGAATATTTGCCATGTGAATATCAATCGATTGGCTTGCAATGTTGAGTCAGTGGGTAAAGTATGTGACTTATTTATATTCTCATGACACAAAGTACCTCACCCCACATAGCAAGGTACTCACTAAAATGAAGCAGATAATTGATAGCTCTTCCAAGAAACAGGAAATTTTAGAGGATAAGATGACTAAACTGTTACGTAATATCAATACCTGTATATGGCTATGAGAAATCAGAGGACCAAGTTTGAATTCCAGTCAAATTTGTTACATTTACATGCACAAATAACCTTAGGGAAGGTATCAATCAATCTCTTTTTCCTTCCTGCTATGAGTTGAATAGCAGGACAGACTGGGTCCTTTAGCCTTGGTTGGCAACCAATATACTGTAAAAAGAAATGGCAACCTACTGTGGGAAAATCTGTCCAGTCAGTAATGTATTGAAAAAGACATGATCATCCAAACATGTATCATGTATGGCACTTAATTAACTGACTATATGGCAATAAATGCTGGACCATACCCATACAAATGAAAAGAGACTTGGAGCAACAAAAATATAATTCTACAGAAAGATGTTTAGAATACCATAGACTCAACTACTTCTACATGCTATGTCTGTTCAGACATAGAAAGGAAACTACAACTTCTATAGAAGGTAAGATAGGAAAGCAAGAAGAAAGGACTACACATCAATTGTAAGAAGATAGAATCTATGATTGTCAGCAAAAGGAACAACCTAAATACAAATTACAAATTGGGGATACCAAAAATTAAGCTAGTGCAACAATTTAAATATCTAAAAAGTGTTTTAACAGAAGATAGAAAATGTGGCTCTGCAATCCAAAAACACATTAGATACCTTCCAAAATCTAAGAAAAGTATTAAATAGAAAGATTTTGTTAAAAACAAAGAAAAGAGTACTGAGCTGTTATGCAATATTAGTCTTCCCATATGGCAATGAATGGATGCTGAGAGTATCATGGACTTAACATGTAAACAATGACAAAGTTTTAGAGAAAATGAGAATAAAAAAGATATTTATACTTAATATCAGGAAGAGATAGTTGAAATTTTCTAGGATAAATAAAGGAAAGAGGACTTGGAGAATTTAACACTCTCAGGACATATTAAAGACAAGGCATAACTTACCTAATGAGCTTATATACATAGCTGTCAGAACAGCGATAACAACAAACTTTAATAAGAGGTACAAAAGGCAGGAAATCATGGAGAGTCATGATTGCTCATGTCCTGAATGGCGATGTCATATACATGGTGCGATCGATAAATTGTCGTCTAAATTATGCGAAAATTAAAATACTAGTATCTCATTTTAACAGATATATTTAGCAAAATTAAACAAAAATATCTTGAAATATGAAAGAGTAAATTTATTCAATAAAATCGCTATTGACTTCAACCACGGCCTCCAGATGACGTCAGAACCTTCTGCAACTCTTCTGGACAGTCTCCTTGTTTAAGTTGATGAATGCTGCCATAATCCTTGCTTTCAGTTCCTTTTTGGTGTTACAAGGAGTTTTGTTGGTCTCTCACTCAACTGTGCCCCACACATAATGAAGTGAATGGCGAGATATAAGGGTAATGCAGTCACAGAAATTGTCTGACAGCCATTACTAGGTTATTCTGCTTGTATGGCATCATGCAGAATCTTGTCAGACACAATGTCTTCTAGCAGCCACCCTCTTCTCTCAGGGCAGCATACCTCCTCATGGCATTTGATGTAGGCCTCCATGTTGAGTCTGAAGCCCTGTGGGAAGATGAATGGAGGCATAATATTACCATCACTAGTGATCACCATTAGACTCATTCAACTCTTTCTGAATCCTCTGCACTGTCCTCAGATTGACACCCAAACACTCTGAAATATTTGTATTGGAGCTACTGGCATTAGTGCCAACCAGTAGATTATGTCATTTTCAAATTTCTGACAAGGTGAATTGCATCATGGTGCTCTTTTTTTCACAGATGGTTCCCAACAGACCCTGTGCAGTCAACAAAATCAAAAAAGAAACAATGCGGATACACAAAATTTAAAATATAAAATGACAATTTACCCAATGAACCCTGTAGATGAAGAAAGATATTCTAAGAGCAAAGGGAGATAACTCATTATTTAATTTTTCCTCAAGCCACTGACATTGCTCTATTTTTTTGCTGTTATTTTTTTTTTTTTACTGAATTTTGTTTTAAAATCTTTTACCCTTTATAAAAAGTTCTGTAAATTTTTCTTAAGATATTTTTTTTTCATAAACTTGATATTTATTACTTACAGAAAAACCTTTTAGTGAGGGAAATGTCGCCCAAGTTACATTAAGCAATAAGAATTAGGTCAGAAAGATGAGGGGGAAATTGAGTGACACAAGGGGGAAGGAATAAATTAAGAGACGTTAATAGAATCAAAGAGAGGAGCAAAAAAGAAAAAAATGTGAGATGAAGAGGGGGAGAAGTAGAGGAGAAAATTGAAAGGAGGAGAGAGAAACAGTAAGAAAGTATAAAAAAAAAAGTGAATGAAGGAAAAATAAAGAAAGAAAGAAAGAACGAATAAAGAAAGAAAATAAAAAAGAGGATGAAAAAGAGGAACGAGAAAAAGAAATGAACAAAGAAAAATAATATAGATATGTTTTCTTTGAACCCAACAGAACAACAAGATTTAAAAAAAACATTAGCACTCTAAGTCATTTGACATTAGATTCAAGAAAGCATTTTTATGCTGATTTTCCAAATGTAGTTTATATGTGGCACAAGGCTAAAAGTATGGGGCACCCAGTGAGAAAGAAACATTACTCAGTTGTAATTGATCTAGCACAACAATTTTACTAATCATTACAATACGTCAAGTTTCCCAAATCATTTTCTAAATGTAGCTTAGATCTGGCACAATGACAAAAGTGTGTGACACCATGTGAGGATAGAATTCACTACTTAGTTGTAATTGTTCTCTAGCAAGACAAGTTTCTTAACCATTACACCATGTCGAAGTGTCTAATATTTATTTTCAAATATGTTGAACCCTTTAGATATAATTTTCTAACTACAAAGCTATTCCTCCAATACAAACATCTGTGGCAAACACGTGCCAGTACAGATGCAAAAGAGGCCTTGGACTGCATGCAAATACATTTGTCAACACTAGTTGCATCCAGGTTTTTCCTATCAGCAGCAGTACAGTTTGGTATGTCTATATACAGGCCTCTCTGTAACCAGTCAAGATCTGAGTTTTTTTAAGATGCTTCATGCCAATAAAAGCTGGAGGAAAGCAGCAGTTGGCAAGACACGGTGTCTTATGATATTGGTCTTATGTGTATTTTGTACCTCAAGTTGCTGTGGTTTCTGTGGCAGTGCTATTTCTGTTACCTACTGTCTATTTATCCTCTCTCCCTATCATCCTCATAGTTGCTGGGAGAGTAATTGTTTAGGCAATTTCTTCCAATCTCACTACTCTCTTTGTTTACATTACAACAAGCTATTTCAGCACTCATGACTGGTGGCAAGTTCAACCTGAATCTAATCCCTGAATGTTATGGTTCAAACAATAGTCACACTATCACTGAATGGTTCGAAAAAGCTGAACTTAGTGATCTGTGCAGTGTGAAGAACATTGCTAGCATTCTGCTACTTTGATTGACTGGAGGCACATTTGCTGTGTTCCAACAACTCAGCAAGGAAGAAAGAAAAGATGTGAGGGATTCCCTGTATGTTACCTTTGCCATAGATCTATTCATAGCATACAATCAGTTCGTACATAGGCATTTGAATTCAAACAAATCTGTGGAGGTCTACTTGGCAGAGCTCCGCAGACTGTCAACCTTGTACAGAGGGGTGTCTGACTGTGGACTTGCATGTGCATTTGTAGCATGGTTGCCTGAGCATGTCAAGAAGTTGCTTTGTGCTTCCTCTCAAATGGATGCACTGGATATCAACCAGCTATTAGACTAAGCTAGAGCCATACTGAAGGATGATACAGTGGTGGCAGAATTGATTGTGGCAGCCACAAAGCCTGAAGGCAAAGAGTCTGCACATAAAACCGATTCCTTGTGTGTGTAACACTGGTCATCTGACATCCTCATATGCAAAGCTAAGGATGCTGGTGAGAAGAAGGTTGGATATAATGAAGGAATTGGTCCAAGAATATAAGTTGTCTGTCAATGTAATGCTGGCCAGAACTTGGCAGACAAGATGACCCTTGTATCCCAAAGGTGGTTCAATATGGTCAAAAAGGTGGCTGAACATGTGTAAGTGTGTGCAGCTTCTTTTGACACCACGAGTCCCACCCAATAAGATAATGGAAGTACATTAACACAGTGGGCATCCAGGAGTATGACGTACCACATACCTTCTGTAACAAAATCCATTGGTACCTGTGCACAATAATAGATCCCATGTTAGTCCATTGGAAAAAGGGCAAACTGGAAGTGAACAGTACTTGGCACCAGCTTAGCAGGGATATCACTCACTACTGTGGCAGTCATTACCTGACACTAACAGACTGTGACCCATTACATTTTTCAGTGTAGCATCTATTACACCCCCAAGATTCACTGAGTATCATTCGTCAACTGAAGTATATGTTTTGTGAGAGGGGACCACCATGTGAGATACTTACAGAAAATGACTGTGTTCCACAGGAAGAAGTTCTGGGCCTTTGTCCATGGACTGACATAAGAAAGGTTGGAATATTTTTGGTAATGTTCATTGATAATCTATCATCTAATTGATAAAGACCAAAGTATATACTAACCAAAATCTTTTTGTAAAGGTAACAGAAATAGTAACACTTGTCAAAATTATTCTTAGAATAGGAAAAATACTTTTTTCTGTTAGACAATAGTTACCTTATATAATATATCCGTGTATAAACATATTTATTTATAAATACTGTAACTCCTAATGTCTGCAAATAATAAATGATAATCTAACAACAGTGTTTTACTGATTCTTTTTATCTGTTATACATCTTTATGGATGTCATCAATGTACATCTTTGATTTATAAATTATTTTCAATATTATTTATGCCACTGTCATTACATCAGCCAGACACACACACAAATTTTTTTATGTGCTGTCTCCCTTCAGGATGATGGCGATTATTGCTCTCCACAATTTCCTGTCCTTTGTATCTCTTAATAAATTTTGAACCCCATTCTGCCATCCAAATGCATAAGAATGGTAGATTGGTTATGTGCTGTTTTCTTCTGTTGCTCTTGCCTTCAATATGCCCTGTGAGTGTCAATTTTTCTAAGCTGTCTTTCCTCATTATGTGCCCAAGAAATTTCAGTTGTCTCTTTCTGATGTTAAGTATAAGTTTCCTTTTTTTTTTTCAAAGAGTTACATTTTTCTCTAGAACCCCATTTCTATTGACTCAAGTTTCTTCTTTGTCTGCAGATCAGATTTTAAATTTTGAGATTGTTATAATTAATAAAATATCAGTAATGTGAGAGGTGATTTTTTTTTTCCAGAATATAAGAGCCCACCATTCATGGTGTAGTGTGGAGTGTATAGTAAACACAAATTATTTTGGTATAGGAAATATGAAATGTTTAATAAAGACAGTAATTGTCTATCTTAAGTTGTCAGTTACAAGACTGGAATACGAAATTGGCTTTCCAACTTCTCATTCCTAGCTGCTATGCAATACACCAACCAAGAAAGACATGCCAAGATGTGAGTTATGAAAAGGAGACGTCACAGCAAGCAAGTAGACTGATTGATTTGTTCTGTATGGCTTATCAACCCTTCACAAGTTATTTAAAGCCAGAAAATATTTTTAGATTGGAAGAATATTTTTTGAGATAATGATTTTAGTGATAAAAAATACTATTTAACCCATAGCTGGGGAGAAGATGAGGGGAATTCATATTTAATCAGAATTTGATAAAAAAAAAAATTATAATATGGATGAAAGTGGGGGATCAATTCCGTATTACAATAAATATATAAACTGATCCCTCATTTTGTGACTAAGGTAGGGTCTGTACTTTTATATTCCAGAATCTAAAAGACATGCCTGTAGCTAATCAGTATTTCATTTGTTTTCTACGGCTTATCAACCATTTGCAGGTTATTTAAAGCCATAAATTATTTTTAGATTGGAAGACTATTTTTTAGAGATAAGAATGATTTAGTGATAAAAAAAACTTACTAATTAACCCATAGCTGGGAGAAGATGAGGAGAGTTCATATTTAATCAGAATTTGATAAACAAACAATAAATTATAATGTGGGTATTAATTGGGGAATCAATTCCATATTACAATAAATATATGAACTGATCCCTCATTTTGTAACCAAGGTAGTTTCTGTACATTTTTATTCAAAGACATGGCTGTAGCTAATCAGTATTTGGTGCTATAACTAATTCTTGTGTTCCAGCGATATATCTTGAGATTCTTGACAATAACCCTGATGATGAATATAAAAGCCCACAATTTGGGGTGGAGTGTGGAGTGTATAGTAAACACAAATCATTTTGGTATAGGCAATATAAAGTGTTTAGTAAAGACAGTAATTGTCTCTCTCTTATTTTAAGTTGTCAGTTGTTAACTGGGGACAAGGATTGTCCTGTAAATTTTAATGCTTCCAAAATGAAACCGCTATCCTTTTATTATCATAGAGAACTATTTTTGTCATCCATCTGTATGGTTGATGCTAACCTCCAAGAGAGCAACTTCTTACACATTGTTTGGTCTTACATTTTCTACTGATATGAAGTGGGGTGACTATATTGAATGAATTGCTTGGCCTACTATGAAGAAATTTGGTTGTCTGTGTTGTGCCAGAAAATTTTTCTTATCAGAATCTATCCTGAAACTTTATTAATCTACCATTCATCCATGTATTGAATATTGCAACCATATAGGATTTAGAGATTCTTGAAAAAATCCAAAAGGTTCTGTAATGTAATAGATTCTGACCTACCATCTCAACTTCAGTCACTTTCCCAAAGCCATGACACCGTTTCCCTCTGCCATAGATATTTTCATAGTAATTGTTCTAATGAACTCTCCTTACTGCTAGATTGCCAACTAAGTCTCACTGTTTTAATATTGAACTATCTAGATGCAACCATCTGTTTTAATGTTTTCTTATCTCTCACTTCTTGACTGTGGACCGCCCTTCTGATTTTGTACACCTACAATCCTCAAAAAATGAAATGCAGTGCCAACTGCCATCTTACGTCTTCTTGAATTCTATTCTCTTATTGTCCTTTCTCCTCACTAAAGTCTTCTCATTCTCTTCTGCTCCCAGTAACTCCTTGCATCTTAGTGGCAGTATTGCCTTGCTTGGGGGGGGGAATGATTAAAAAAAAAAAAAAATGGTAAAGTTTCCTTTTTCCATTAAAACCTTGTTATTGATTGCATATTCAATTTGGTGGTATTCACAGTATGCTCCTGTAGAACCACATGGGACCATCAACAACCAACAAGTAAATAAATCAAATGCAAGAAAAAAAAACAAATCAAAAAAAAATTAGCTGCTCTCATATTACGAGTTGGATTTATTAAACTGATATTTGAAATCTATTTCCTCACACGACATCCTAGCTTCACTCAATTTACCACCATCATAATGTGGCCTCCCTCTGCCTTTTCTATAACTACTTTCCTGGTAATTGTTTGAATGAACTTTCCTCTATGTTATCTAGACTTTATGAATTTAAGTGCAGTACCAGATTGGCAACTGATCTGGGAACCGACATTGCAGTGAATGATGACGCCATATCTGCTGTGGATGACATTTTTGACCGACAGTATGAATAGTCTTCTTTGAACAGTCAATTTAACAGGAAAGAAACAATGCAATCATTATTAAGAGGAGTTGAAATTAATGCATGCAACATTTCACAGATCTAGTATCAGTACTTCATAGTTAGTCTGTGAACTTTTCAGCACACCGCTGTATATTCTATCAGCTAAGAAAATTCCCACTCCATCCAGGTGTTGTCTTTTCATGAACTTGTTCAAAGTAATGGCCAATGGCAATAAAGAACTTTGATAAGACAAAAGTTCTGACATTTCTTCTCTATTTGAAATTGATTCTTCTCCAAGGAAAATTCAGTTTAAACCAGAAAGCCATATGGATTATGTTTTACAAGAAATTTTATTCTCCAGTGAATTAAATTAAAGAATATTCCAAGGGTGATCAGAATTATTTCATTCTTCTAGATGATATGACTCTTTAAGACATGGGCGATGATAGCTCTCCACAATTTCCTTCCCTTTGTAGCTCTTAGCAACATTTGTCTTTTGACTAGCACTCTTCTCTCTCCTGCCATTCATTTACACAAACAGATTAGGTAAGTTACTTGTTGCTTTCCTCTGTCCCTCTTGCCTTCACTATGTCCTGTGAGTGTCAAATTTTCTAAGCTTTCTTCTTTCAGATCTCTTCATCTGAGAGGAAATTGTCCAGCATTCACTGCCACATTGCTGGATTGATATTACAACCTTTCAAGACTTTTTTAGTTTCAAATGATATTTTCTTTTCCTGCTTTACTTTACTTAGCTTTTGGAAGGCATCATTCACTATGTAAATGCACCTTCAGATTTCAATGTGACATTTTCAGACTCCTGTTGGCATAAATAGTTGTGAGCATTATTATTATCATTACTACTAGAATAATACCCATAAAAAATGAGAATATTTACCTACAGTTCTGTGCAATTTGCCTCGCATCAAGGGGTACCTCTGACACTGCTTAGGATCACAGTATCTGTCTACTCTATAAAAACTATATATATATATATATATATATATATACACACACACACACAATGTTCAGGCTAAATTTGACAGTTTTTTTTTTTAAATGGAAAACAAAGTGAATACTAAACCAAAAATCAATTTATAGGAAAAATAGAAAGGTGGCATACAAGTTATAATAATCAAAAGACAATTCACTCAAAGAAGCCACCTCAGCATCTACTACGGCCTTGATTTGACTCCAGAATCTAACACACGTGACCTTCATGGTGTTCCTAGGGAGAACCTCAAATGCCTCCTTGATCCTATCAATCAGCTGGGCCTTGGTGTTACAGGCAGTGCAGTTGGTGTCTTTCTCAAATGCACCACACACATAATTCATGCGATTAGTATCAAGGGGATTTAGAGGCCCAAGCTTTGGAGCTTGTGAAATCATAAAAATTATCTGACAACTGGCATGAATCATCATGATACAGATTACCATTTTTCAATATTCAAGTGTCAGTTAACTTCAAGATGTTGAAAACTACAGTGACTAGCTTTCACAATGCTGTTCATATATTTTCAAATCGATCTTAAAAAAAAAAATGAACACATTAGCCTCTGTCAAATTTAGCCTGAACACCATATATATATATATGAGAGAAAGAACAGATAGAGTAAAAATCCACTGTTCGTAACATTTACTTTTAAAAAAGTGCTCAATATAATAGGGGCAATATATCATTATGATTTATATTAATTACATTATTCGGACTATTGTCCTCGTCTTTGTTGCCATATTTATCACAACGTTCCGCTCAGGTTGGAATGTCAAACTGAACCCTTTATTTCGCTCTAGTTCCACGTGCCATGTTTTAATGGATGTCTGTTATCAGTTATCTCCAGCTAATTTCCCTCTGAAAGTTCTCCACTGCTGGGTATTGAACTCACACTCTTTGGGTCCTGTCT